TAGTATAACATTAATTCAGTCGAAACTCAGATTATTTATCTTACCATCGTTCCCGTGTACTTGTGCGCCAAAACAGAGAAAAAGACCACCAATGATCAAGGTTTATAAATCTATTGCCATCTTGCAAAGTTAAGTAAGCTCAGTCGAGCATCTACATGATTCGCGAAATCGAAAGCAAAATTTAATATTTGACTGTCCAAATCACGTCTAAATAGGGCTTTGACAGTTCCTTTTGTCATCGGTTGCTTATTTAAATACCTCAAACTCATTTAGATATGTCAGAGCCCTTGAGTAAAGGCTTTTGGTTCCCTTCGACAACAATTTCACTCCGGAAGTGACGTACGCAGCTGTTGGCTATTTTTGATTGATAGCAACAAACAGTACAGATTAACAACGGCAATGTAATCGGTTTTAAATTAGTACCTGAACCAAATAAGTCTCAGAAGTAACCGGAGTCGCTTGAACTTAAAACTAACTTAAAAGTTTGACTTTGTCACATTTGGTTAACTAATTATTGATCGTTTGGCGCGTGAGGACACATGCAACCTGTTATTTTCCATATGCACATTTCGGAGGTCGTTGACCTCAATCCAGTCGTATATTGGAGCGCGAGCTGAAAACAATAATAAAATAGAGGCTGATGAGGGTGTGGACAACAAATCGGGAGTGGAAAGGTCAGAAAATGATGTGTGCTACCTCCGTGGGCAATGTACACTCTTCCTCTCTTTTTTTTTTCTAAAGAACCTTTTTTATGAGAACGTTCAGGCTGAAATGACATCAAACAGCAAACAAATTGGAAGATACTGTCATTACATCTCTTGAATTCCTTAAAATAAAAATGTCTTGTCAAGTACCTGTGTTAGATCTTCTCGCTTTTTCATCATTTTTAATAGTCTGCTGTACCACAGGGTAGAGAAAATTTGTTACTGTTTAAGGCTTTAAAATTCCCTCAAAAGAACGCCTGCTCGTCCATGTAAAATCGGCAAGACTGATAAATATTAACCGACATATAGAATTCGTTCTGATGTGAGCTATTTAAAGGAAGGAATAGCTATGACTTAAATCATATATAAGAAGTACCAGAAAAAAATAATCGCGTTAGCCCCGCTCCATACATTTTAATTAAAGGCAAACCGATCTCATCTCCTCACCGCCTTCTTGCATCAGTTGACTCAATTGACTCAAAAATTTTGATGCACGTGCCACACGTGTTTGACGTCATAAAGGCTATTAACGCATTATTTTGACGAATTTTGTTTAAAGCATTGAACCACTTGGAGTATACTTACCCTTGTCTATTTCTGGATGCTCAAAGTACATCTTATTCTTACTCAATTTCAAATTTCACGGAAAGTTTTCGCAAACTTTCGCAGGCAACAGCAACTGCGAAATGACGCATCCACCTTTCGCGCGCCGGTTTCATAAACTGAGGACACTGTGACGTTAAGCGCGCAGAACAACCCCCTGACAACGGGATCAGGTCGCGTACTGACCACGTGCAAGTTAAATGATAGTCTGCGCGATGCTTACTCTTGTCTTATGCGCTGCGAAATGTTTTTTTTTTTAACTGACCTGTTAGAATACGAACAAGGAAGAGTGCTTTAATTTGCTTTCATTTGATTGTCTATAGTGCCAGATTTAGCCATATATGCCGACACAGTCCGCGTGTTCCTTATCACCAAATTACAAAAAAAATTATATGAAGGTGAATTGGCGCAACAAAAGCATCAGTTTCTAGTATTTTGCTTACCACCCACCCAAATCCGGCTGTGTGCACTGGAAACAGAGCTTTTCAAAAGTGCTTCCCGATTTGAAAACGCCACCCTGGCGTTTTAGACTGAACGGCCAAAAGAAAAATGAAAACAGATCTTTGCGTAAAACTAAACATCAAAGCTTCTTGAATTCCACGGCGAACTACTTGGGTCTTCTTTAAACGCTAGGCTAGATTTTTTGCTGTTTTCGCGCGTCTGCTCTTCGATCGGAGGAAGGTGAGCATGCTTGCCAGCCCGCCGTTGATTATCAAGCCTGACTGCAAGCATGCTCAAGGGCACATTCAAACGTTTCTGTAACTAGTGATTGTAGTGTGGACGGAAAATAATTTGTTCGTTTTCCAGAGTGGACAAGTTAAGTTGCATTTCAAATTCATTTGACTCCCAAAAATATCCTGATGATTATTGACCTTAAATTTTGCCTTCTCTTGATAGTCCATCTTTGAATGATTGCAGTATTTCGTCAGTTCATGATGAGTTGCGTTGTTTGGGAGCGGAGTGAGGCAGGCCTTTGACTTTAAAAGCTGAGCTGACTGCATTGCTAAAAAGCTCGACAACGTTTTATCCAATATTAGGAAATTTAAAAGGATGCTTGTATAGTTTTATTTATGCCCTTTTGCAGAAAGATTGTTGAGCGGCACTGAATGTTTTGTTAAAGGCATCGATTGAGCAACAAAACAACGACATACGCGTTTTTCTAAAAAATATGAGTGTAGCAGATTATTCAGTAAGTGGATTATGATTTCAGTCATTTGACTATCTTAGGCAATTATTTAAGATTTGAATTCAAAATTCAAAGTTGTTTAGAGCTAAACTATTGCGACGAGTTTCCAAATTGTGACTGTCTCGATTAACTTCCTTCAGTGGACGTGCATAGTTTGTCCACGAACCTTGCCTTGGACCCACATGAAAGTTATTTTTTTGGCTATGAAAGTCAAAAAGTGATTGTTTGATCGGAATGATTAGGTGACTGTTAATATCAGTTTTTTACATTCTTGTGAAAATATTTGGGATATTGTTTTGACAACAAGTTTTAATCTTTTAAGGTCAGTTGGCCAGCATCTTCGGTCATGCCCAAAGTTATATAAAAGCGTGTGCTATGGAGCTCGTAGTCAACCGATCAGATTTAATTAGAGTCTACCAGAGTTATAAGGGGCAAGTAAGAACCGATAAGTAGTCCCAGCCATGCACAGTGGTTAAGAGCTGAATAGGAGTAACATTTCAGAAATTCGTAAACCCTTCCGGTTTGTGGTCTATAAGAGAGTTTGGTCGATCGATATCCGCGCGATATGCCTTGTTGATAAGGGGAGAGATGTGAGAAGACACTGAAGGGTGGTGACTCATAACCCGGTTTCCAAGCGACTTGGCACAAGGAAGCAAGGTCTCCAGCAGTGTGCTAGCTTAAAAGCGAGCGGCAACTTAAGAAATTCTGCGTCACTGAAACTGAGGACTGTGAACCTCTCCTACTGGTCGTCAGTCAGCGTTCTTCGCAGTCGTTCTTTTAGATGTCACGCAACTTTCTCAAAGAGTACGGTTCTCGGTTCTCTGGACTTGTTCGATGTTTTCTTCTAGTGCAGGTCCCAAGAGGTGCAAGGTTATTTTAATTTGGATCATACAATGGCCAACATATTTTCTTTTCGGGTAATTTAGAATACTCTACATGACCAAGCCCAAATTTTATTATCAGATTTTGAAATTGATGCTATGTGCTTGGAACATTTTAACTCGGTCTTTACCGCGACATCTAAATACGGGGTGTGATTAACTTTTGGCGTCTTTAGATTCAACTCAGGAGTTTAACCGCGCAGTTATGAAACCAGGTTTTTACTGTTGGTTCTTCATAGTTACCGTATGAAATTGCATAGAAGCACCTTCAAACTGATTCAAAACGATATTTTATTTATTATACATTGTAAGTGGTTTGCATCTGGCCCTAGACCTCACGCAACACTGCCTTGCTGAACCTCAGCACTGACATTATCGGTGACTACAGTGAGACACTAGAATCATTAATAATGTAGGCTCTAAAGTTTAGATGTGAAATTTTTGGTGATCATCTTCAGACGGTGACTACACTGGGGTTCCATGCCAAGGAAGCAGAAGACTTGGAACATCAGGCATCATTTAGTCGCTCCGAATTCCCTTGAAAGTGGTGCTAAAGCAGCCATAAATCTGAAATACAAGTGAGAAGTCATTAATTTCTTTGCAATGTGTCATACTTTTTGTTCCTTGAATATTAAACAGAGGGCCAGGCATTTCAATTCTGGGATGTATTCTGAGTGGTAAAAAATCATTCACTGTTTGCTACAATGTTAGCTACTTCAGAAAGAAAATCATTTTTGTGATTCGTTTCGATTTCCAAACAAAGGAAATAAACTCAAATTTCACACCATAATTATTCTCAATCAACCGTAAAGGAAAAGTTATTGTTAAGCTACAACCCATAAAAATGATTCATGTCTTATGTCTTATGTCTTATGTCTTCTGTCTTCAAAAGGCGCATAAAGACTGACTAAAAAGCAACAGTGACAGTAAATCTTAGACGTCTCTCGACTGAAGTCACTGGTTGTGTACTGAGTGTTCAAGGTCCCACATGCTTTATCCTCGTCACCAGTTACCCGTTCTTTTACGCTCGTTTCTCAGAGAAGCCGCAAAAAGGCTGAAGAAAAACTGGGTGGAACACTAGATTACCCCACAGAAACTGCTAATTTTAAAGCTCGAGAATAATGTACCACTGAGAGTGCAATCTATGATGTCGATAGGTTTTCGAAAGGCAATATTTGCTCTTTATGGATTTCTCTACAAATCGTACGGTACCACCCTAATCATAAGAAAATCACAGAAAGAAAAAACTACACCAATAGAGAGGCTGTAAAACGGAAAGAGTCACGCCAACGCTGATTAAATTTCATCGTGTGTCGGGAAACCCGGCCTCAAAGCCTGTATTTGATTAACGTATTTTCTGCCATTGTCATCTTTTTCAGACTTCAAAAGCGATGCATAGCGCGCGAATTGTCAGCTGACATGTTAGTATTGCGGGCATCAGTGAGGCGCGTGTATATATTTGCATATTCCGACCGAAAAAAAAAATTGAGCAAAATAAAGGCGTTCTTTACTGACTCTCAGCCTGGGTGTGTTCTTGGTATGTTCTTGAAATTTTGGTCAATCAGCCTGAACTTCCTGATGAAAAAGGTTCTTATAAAAACAAGGAAAAGTGTATTTACCAACGCCCTAAACGTTGTTGTTCTCTTCCTCTTTAAACGGCAAAAGCGATGCATATGCACGAGAATCTTCGGCTGACATATTAAGATTGGTGAGAGGCATATACGTATTTTCGTAGTCCCCAGTCTTTATTTGATTGACGTACTCGTGTTCTTTCCCATTATTTTTCTCTACTGGCTTGTACGGGTGTGTGTAGCTGTAGGAACAAGCGCTTGACACTTGGGCATATACAGGAGTCTGGGCACTGTCGCTAGGCACCTACGGGAAACACAAAAACAAAACGTGTATACTAAATACAAGATTTATTAACCGATTTGTGAACGAGGGCAATAACAAAAAATATAACCTTATCATTTCTGACATAGTTTGATGCTACACTGGTTTGCAGATTTAATGAATGTAACCGAAGAAGTTACAATTCATAGACCCAACGTTTCGACACTCCTGTCTAGTGCCTTCATCAGGGGTGATCTAAACGCTGCAACAAGAGGTCCTTTTATATGATCACTAATTAGCGGCCTTTTTTTCTGACGAGGTGTAAGTAAGCGTCAGGAAGCAGACCGCCATCGTCACGATTTAAAGGAGCGTGGGCGGAGTTAATGTGCCAAGCCTCCAAACAAAGGCGCTGGTGGTAACGCCGATTAGTGGTGATAATTTTAGAATTATCCCACCCAATTGTATGGTTGGTTAGGCAAGTATGCTCCGATAAAGCTGAATTTTCCTTTTTGCAAAGAAAAACCGCTTTTTGGTGCTCTTTTAACCGTGTACCAAACTGGCGTTTGGTCTGTCCGATGTATTCGTTGTCACAGACATTGCAAGGAATAGAATAAATGGCGTCGGTTCGTTGTTCTTTCGTGACAGGATCCTTAGGTTTGGCGAAAATATGCCCCAAAGTCTGAAAAGGTTTTTGAGCAACTTTAACGTTGTGACTATTCAAAATTCTCTTGATGGGTTCAGTAACACCCTGTATGTAAGGAATAACAGCAAAACCAGTCGCTGGTTCCCTTTCATCAAGAGCGTTACTATTTGTAACTGGTTTTTGGCAGTTACGGAGAAAAGTTTTTGTATAGCCATTTGCCTTTAGGACATTGGAAACATATTTCCTCTCCTCAGCCTTCGAATCGAGTGATGATGGTAGACAGTCAGCCCTCCTAAGTAAAGTTTTGGCTACAGACTTCTTATGGCAAATAGGATGGTGAGAATCGAAAGCGAGGTATTTGTCGGTGTGGGTGGGTTTACGGTAGACACTGGTCTCTAAATTACCCTGAACCCCTCTGGACACGTTTAAATCAAGAAAGGGCAAATGTCTATCCTTTTCACGTTCAAGGGTGAATTGGATCGACGGCTCTACTGAATTCAAATGCGACAAGAGGCGCTCCGCTTCATTTCCGGATACCGCAGAAATAACATCATCGACAGGGTTTAACCGGTGAAGTGACTAAGGCCCTTTGTTCCACATCTTCCATTACCATGTTAGCAATGACAGCAGAAACAGGCGAACCCATCGCTGTACCAAAAACTTGTTGATAGTATGTGCCGTTATATTAAAATTATATTATATTAAAAGGACCTCTTGTTGCAGCGTTTAGATCACCCCTGATGAAGGCACTAGACAGGAGTGTCGAAACGTTGGGTCTATGAATTGTAACTTCTTCGGTTACATTCATTAAATCTGCAAACCAGTGTAGCATCAAACTATGTCTGATTGTCCACCTGGTTGCCGTGTGAACTTTAATATATCTTATCATTTCTCTTAAAAGAGGTGAAAGACTCTTTGGGGTACTAATCAAAGTTTCATACGGCGATGATAAGCCCTGGGTCCAGATTAGGCTTGAGTCGATTGTGCCAGCATAATTTTTAACATAATTTGGCAAAACGAGCATAATTTTTAACTTTTTTCAAAGAAAAGCACTGCCGGCATAATCTGCATTTTTACTTCCACGATGTGAACAATTTTGGTAATTTTGTATTGAATATAATCAGTAATCAGTTGCTGTTTGTTTTGTGTTTTCCCCGATGCTCTGCCTTTGTTTTGCTTAAAAATCAAGTAGCATAATTTTGATGCCAGGAGCATAATTTAGAGAAACGAGCATAACTCGGGCTTAAATTTCGTAAATTTTGAGCAGTGCTAGGAGCATAATATGCCAGTTTTACGAGCACAATCGACTCAAGCCAAGTCCAGATTCTAAGTCTTAAGTCTTTCATGAAAATGCTGAGGAGTTCAACAACTACTGCAATATCTACCTGGTTAAAAGGATGTGTGAAAGATAGATGATAATAGCTAACAAACTATGAACGCTCCACCGACACTTCACCAACGTTCCATCGACACGTTATCAACAATACACAAACGTAGATCTTTAAGCATAATTATGTATCAAAACAAGAGATTATCATCTCTTGTATTCAGGGATTATACATCTCAGTGTCAGTGAAAGTTTTGGATCTTTACCTCCCCCTCGGTGAATAACTGTTAATTTCTCGAAATCAGTGAAATCTTCCCTCATAATGAAAACATAAACATACCATTATCGCGGGTGGAGACAGCTCAATTTCTTCATATTCATCTCGGGCAGATTCTTCTGTATCTTGATTGCGTAATCAGACAGTGTAGTTGGACAGTTAAAGGGGCAGTTAACACATCATGCCTGTGTTAGTGGACAGAACGCTTCATGTGCGCGCGCTGTTGCCTCACATTTCGCCGAATTAACTGCCTTTTTTATGAAAACGTATATTTTATGTCTAGTTTCTTTTATCAAATTTTGTCATAGTTTTGATTAATCGGTCGCAGGACTTCGTGTCGCCTAATTCTGTCTGCAATCATAGTAGTGATTAACAAATCGGACTCCCCCTTCGTGGTCGTTCGATTTTGTTAATCACTCGTATGATTACAGACCTAATTGGACTCCACTTGTTCCTATTACCATTATTAATGAGGGAGATAATGTGGTCGTGTGGATTCAATAGCATGGTTTTATTTTAGACAAGCGCAGTTCATCGGAGAGTCTCGAAAGCAAAGCTAAAGCAATCACAATGGCTCACCAGAAGAAAGTAAGATCGGTAAACTGTCCAAATTGATTGGATTGATTTGTGCAGGGCCCATTTTGTGTTTGAATAATGAAGATAGCGAAGGGAAACAAAACGACGTAATCCTGGATTAGTTTAGACACTTGATTGAAAGTACCCTTGCAAGTTAGAGATCATTTTATATCTTCAAGGTAATTTTGTCTACAAAATTGTATTCTGAAATAGATTGAACATCCGAATTGAACGAAATTTTTCTCTTGCCATTCATTTATTTTGAAAAGGAATTGACAGGTTGTGATACACGTATTACCTTTTTTCTGGCGTCTCTTCCGTCGGAATGACCAAGCAATACCGAGGATTACTAAAATGACGAAGAGCACTGTCAGAGATGAGATCAACATCACCCAATCAGGTACCTCGGCCGATGGAGCAACGGTGGCTAAAAAAAATGACTCATTAATAGAGCTCGCTACACAAACGATGACTTGCCTATATGGCTGTACCAACATTTTACAACTGAATGAAAACAGATCGTTATTTTTTGTTTAATCTGTTCAATTACTTAAAACCTTTGCATCATCTAATTAACTGAAATAAATTTCATTTGATCTACGAATGAAAATCAAGTAAAACAACGTTCCTCGCAGATGAGCTGCAATTTTACCAAGTACAGAAAATAATTTTTCAGGCTTCTTTTCTGTAATAGCAGTAGTCGCTCCGTAGAAGATGATAGCAGCTTAGTTGGCTGTAGCACACGCCGACTGACTATTTGACCGACCGACAGACAGACAGACTAACTGACTAACGGAAAGACCGTGTAACTAGATAACAGGCTGGTTATTTGTTATTACGCCGGATGAACTGACCGATTGGTTGATTCAGTGTTTGATTCTTTTCTGATAAGGCACTACGTGCCATACAGTTGCAAATAAGCTGGTTGTTTTTCTATCTCTGACAAAGTTGGGTAGGTATGAGTATTTATTAATTTGTATGTCGTATATAGCTTTTGGAAAGGTTTTTAGGCAGTTGGAACACCGACACTGGGAATACAACAGAATTAGCACGATAATTATCAAGGTAAACAATAAAATCATTTTCGTATGTCTCACTTTCAGTTGATGTGGTGCTACTAAGAGTACTTGTGCTGTATTCCGAGGTACTACTTGTGTATCGAGAGTGTGTAGTACTTGAAACACAATAAACTGCTGGAGGTGACCTTCCTCCCAGTGGCTCTGTAATAATAAAAGATAGGCATTTCTTTATTTGACTAAATACATCTCAATGAAATAAAGATTGACCTACTCTGCAAGTCTAATAATTATCGAACCAATCACATAATCACACGCAGTATAGTGTGATAGGACTGCTAAACGCGGTTCACTGCCATGTTACCTTTATTAGGCACCCCTTAAAGAATCATTTGAACTATAATTAAAGGATTATTTAGCCAAAGTATACGAATTGAAAACTGAATTTAATTTTTTCCAACCAATACAATGGAAATTGATCATTAACTGATTTCACATACTGTATATTGTATTTCCACATCAAAAAAATAATAATTAAATTAATGAAAAAGAAAAAAAAAGTCATTAACATAAATTATTAAATATTGATTTACTTTTTCTGCTTGTGGCGTCAAACCACACTACCGAAGAAACCGTTTTTCTGAAAGCGGTCTCGACCAGACGGTGAGAGGAACAGATAACAAAGCTGCAAAGGCTCCCTCGGAAATTTAGGGGAAAAAACCCGTAAGGGTTGGCGAAATGTCATAGAACCAGGAATGATAATTTTCTTTTAGAGCTCTTTTAAGTTACCTGAGTTGAAGATAACTTCGCTGATTAATATCCATTGTCCTCTGTAGGTAAAATTGAACCTTACAGACTTCCCTACACGGCGGCACAGGTCAACTGTAACATTGCGGTTTATCGATGGTGATGATGATGGAATGGAAATTTCCTTGAGTTCTTGCATGAGATCAGGTGGAGAACCTTTTGACATTGTCTTATCAAACCTCATTTCAACTCTGGAAAACAACTTGATGTGTGTCTGGTCTTTGACGTTACAATGGAAAGTAGCTGAAGTGAAGATTCTTTTGTTCAAAAAATCAAATATTATGTAAGGTTTAGGGGTCTCTTTCATATTCCAGCCAATCCAACCCAATCCATTATTTACTGTAAGATTTTCACTGGCCAATCGTCCATCAGTAAGCATTCCCAATCCAGAGAATAGAAAGCGGCCTTCAGTCAAACCATCATAGCTTGAATCAGTGAAGTTGTATCTCCCGTCCAGGGAGTTACCTTGAAGCATCTCGTACGTGACAATCGCTAATTAAGTAATAAGTGGAAATGTCATGTTAGGATTTCATTTAACAATGACAGTAACTATTCAGGAAATGAGATTTCGTGATAAACTCGTGATAATTTGTTCCTAGTGAATAACATATATAGACATATTAAAGTTCACATGCCAACCAGGTGGACAATCAGACATGGTTTGATGCTAGTCTGGTTTAAAGATTTAATGGATGTAACTGAGAAGTTACAATTCATAGACCCAACGTTTCGACATTCCTGTCCGGTGCCCTCATCACCCCTGATGAAGGCACCAGACAGGAGTGTCGAAAATGTGTAGTCAATGAATTGTAACTTCTCAGTTAAATTTTAAACCATTAAATCTTTAAACCAGAATAGACACAAAACCATGAATAAATACAATAAGATTATCCACCATACCACTAAAGCAGGTACAGTGACCTGTTCTTTTTTTTTGTTGTAGTTTTCCAAACCGACATTGGTGAGGAACGTTCAAGGAGAGTTTTAAAAATTATTTCATAACATTTTTTGTCTGATGAATCACGTTAATGCAAGAAAATTTCTATTGAATATCAGATGGCTTGCCTCAAGCAATTGATACTTGGTAGATACCTTTCCTCTATAGAAGTTATGATGTCATGTAACATATATCTCATTATTCAATTTCAAGTCTTATAAAGCGCTGTTGGATATTCTGTAGAAACAACATTGTATAAATCATTTATATGATTTTTATTTAATGGAAGTAAAAAGCTTACCGCCTTCAATTTGACAGCCAAGAAGCTCAAACCTGAGGCACACCTGTCTGCGAGGAGATATTTCAGGTATAATTCTTATTCGGTCTGCTACAAGTGGAGGTTTCAACTCCGACAGGCTATTTCCTTGAAAGAACTGAGACATATACAACAACAGTGCATGATGTTAGCAAAACTATAAGCCATAAAACATTTTCGCTTGCTCACCATTCAATTTTTTGTAAATACATCTCGAGACCCACGAGGTCTCAGTTACACCGGGAAATATCCGGTGATATTCCTCAAGCGATATTTATTATTTCTGAAACCTTACACGCGATTCGATAAAAGCCTTGTTTCATAATTTTCACGGTAGGTAGTAAAGTGTTCTGTTGTTGTTCTGAAAGGATTCGCTCTAACGAAGGGCCAACGCTCGAAACGTCAGCTTTAAAATTTCGTTACGGACGCCAATTCATATTATAAACTCATTTTATTACATAGAGAATAATACATTATATTAAAGTTCACGCGGCAACCAGGTGGACAATCAGACATGGTTTGATGCTACTCTGGTTTACAGATTTAATGAATGTAACCGAAGAAGTTACAATTCATAGACCAAACGTTTCGACACTCCTGTCTTGTGCATTCATCAGGGGTGATCTAAACGCTGCAACAAGAGGTCCTTTTATATGATCACTAATTAGCTCGTCCTTTTTTTTATATGCCAAGCTTCCAAACAAAGGCACTGGTGGTAATGCCGATTGGTGGTGATAATTTAGAATTATCGACCCAATTGTATGGCATGTGTGCTCCGAAAAGCTGTATTCGTCCGATGTTCTTTCAATTCCAAACTGACGTTTGTCTGTCCGATGTCATCGCAAGGAATAGAATAAATGGCGTCGATTCGACAGGATCCTTAAGTTTGGCGAAAATATGCCCCAAAGTGTCGAAAGGTTGAGTCTCTGAATTTTAACTTCTTCGGTTACATTCATTAAATCTGTAAACCAGAGTAGCATCAAACCATGTCAGAGAATAATACATCGGCACGCGTAGATATGGTCTTTTCCCTCAAGTGTGCTGCTCGGGGAGGACCTTGTTTTCGAGAGAGATTTTGACTGCACTATGTTCTGGAGATACAGGAGTATCATTTAACGCTTGAAACGATTAGGTTGATATTTTGATACCACATTTCTTGCGTCTATACTAAGGAGCTCTTTAAGTATGAAATTTCAAATCAGTTACGTCCCAGACATCAGTTAAGCGCTGGAACTTAATCCCGCCAAATTTCCGTGCGCAGGTATGAGTGTATTCTGAGTTATCGGCAAAAAGGGGTTATCGTTCTTTCTTGAATGTAAGGTCTTAATTGTGTATTACTTCGCGAGAAAGAAATTCTATTCGCCGGCCTGACCAATTTGGCGTTAAGGTATGGTTGTGTGCCTGATGATTTCTGTCTGGAGCCATAAGATGACGGGCGATAAATCTCGCTGCTTGGAATGCCGCATTTCGCTACCCGTAAACAACCAAGATGCTTGGGTGCTTAGAATACCCGTATTTCGGTGTGAATCCGTTTCACCTGGTGTTCACAAGGGTACTCTGAAAAGAAGTTTTTTAGTTGAACGCGAGTTTTGAAATGCCAAAGGTTCATTACCTGAAACAATCGAGATGCTTGGGTGCTTAGAATACCCGTATTTCGGTGTGAATCCATTTCACCTGGTGCTTACACGAGGGTACTCTGAAAAGAAGTTCTTAATTTGAACGCGAGTTTTAAAATGCCAAAGGTTAAAAATACTTTTAGGCGATTCTGCACATTCCTGATAGGCTGTATAAATAAATGCACAATTGATTGACGCCTCCGGAGAAAGACGCATCCGTGTAACTAATTCACACCTCGCTGGTTTATCATTCGGAGGTCACCTGTGTGAAGTATCTGGTTACTATGCAAATGAGCTTAAGCGGAGATAGAAGCTCGCCTAGAGTCATTTGCATAAAAGGATTCAAGCTCGTCATGAAACGCGATACTATCAATTTGATTTGAAATTTGCTATTATTTTTGTTCTCGGAAAAAACCTGTTCCTCTCAACCTTGCTTTCTGAAATATGAAAATATAAAATGGTTAACCTAATCACTGGGACAAAGTAGCAAAGACACTGTGTGCCTTTAAACTGCAAAAATCAAATAAGCAACAAACAAGATAAAAGAACAAACGAAAAAACATTAAAAAAAGCCAAAAAACGCTAGTCAAGACCTTAATATTACCACGGTACTTGCAAATAACAGGGGAGGCAAGAGATTGATCGTCTCATGTGACCAACTACTCATTCGAGTCAGCTGTTAGGAAAGGGCGCTTTCCATTCAACGAAAATCACCGGTTCAAAATGTTCGGAATTTTCGTTTTCTACGTACGTAACAAGAAAACCTCGAAATGGAGAACTCGCTAAAATGGGTTCTTTTTATCAACGTAAGCGGTCAGATAACAAGTGATATGCTGTGGAAGTAAGGTGAGGTATTTTTATTGAGAATTTGACGTATTTTTTTATTCCTTAGAGCGGTCATAAATATTCCCATACAAACTCTTATAATTCCGTCGTGACTGATATTGCGCAAGATGATTATCTCACAGCTGAAGCTTGGGCTGCCTGTGGTCGAATGGAACGCATCCCATATTTTGAGGTGACAGGGAATGTTGGGCGGACTTTGTTGTGTTTCAAAATGGCGGGCTTTTCAAACATTTACTCTGGGATGATGAGCTGTACCATTCTCGACAGCAACGACATTCCAATACTTCTGGCTGCAATTGCCTGCTTTATGCGGAGAACATTCAATCACGTTGATGGGTTCTTCGAAGTTACAATTCCTGTCTATTTGTCGGGGAAGTATGAGAACCACTTCCGGATGACTAGGGAAACGTGCGAGTTGTTGTTGTTCCCATTCATCCACTTGAACTCAGGTTCGACAGGAAGACTAAAACCGACATCTGTCGCGAATGGAATACACACGTTCCGATAATTCCATCCCATCCAGAGGGCACACTCAAAACGTATTCCTAAATTTTCGAAAACTTAAACCGGAACTTTTCCCGTTCCATTCGATTTCAGACCGGAAATCTCGAAAATTTTGGTCGAATGGAAAGCGCCCTAGTCGTTGTCACGCTAAAATGTCGAACACATGGAAAGATCACCGACTCCGGTCCTGAAAATTAGTCGCAAAATCACCGATGAGAAAACAGTTTGATATCCGTGGCAATAGCATTACTTCAGAAATCCACTCCAACTAAAGACTGAAGGAACTCCATCGATCTTAGAGGTTAATTTCCGTGCAATCTCTGAAATTTGACCGTTGCGAAAGTATCGTTCTTTAAGAGCATCGATGAATAGAAGTATCGTTATTGATTAGCGAGCTAAGGCTGCTCGTGAAAAACATCCTTATGAAGGTCCTTGAAATGACTTACCTTGACTTGTGATCTTCCATCATACAACCAAGCATACTTTTCATTGTTTTCTTGATCTTGTCTGTACGAAACCAAGAACTTCCGAATCCCTTCCACACCTCGAGCGCGGGGCTGTGTTATTATGCCTTTAATTCGAAAGGGCCTGGGAAATTCGACTTGAATAAAATCCTTATGGATAGGACCTGTACCATTATAATACGGCTGCTGATCAGGGCACCACCCCCCATAGCCTCCAATATGATTCAGTCTACCATGAATAGCACTAGCACTTGCATTCAAAGAAGACGTAGCACGAATATCTATATCCCTGATACCTCCATCTTCCATTCCCAAAGGAGAAAAACAATCTTTAAAAAAAAGTAAAATGAAAGACAAAATAGTTACCAAAATACAATAGAGGAGGAGTCTGTACAAGGAGAGAATACCTTATATATATATATATACTTTCTTTTTAAACGTTTTTGTTGTTTTGGATTAATGATATTATGATGTGATTTGCCTAATATGAATGGCTTAATGGATTGCAAAAGGGCACCGGGAGTGTTGTTTTTTTGTGGGAAAAGGCTGAATGGTATATTTCGGCGCTAGTTTGATTTTTTTTTTTTAGATATTTTGCAGTTAAATCTATAATACCTGAGTGGGGAATGTTGCATGCAAAAATTTGTAAAGACCGGCACGATTTTGCTTTGCTAGTGTATAGGGTCATTAGTTTGATCAATAAAAAGCAAGTTTTTTTCATTCCTCAAGAATTTTAATTAAAAGGAATTCAGGTGGCTTTGTCTGATTATTTCCTGTCGCCTGCTTGGGTTTTGGGTTTCTTTCGCGTCCAGATAAGACAATGTTAAGATAAGAATAAAATTAAGATAATTATATCTATAAATGTATGCAATGTGTTATGCAACTCTATTCGAAAACTAACCAAGGGTAGCATTCGTGCGGCTGCTAATCAGAAAAGAAAGGAAAATACGGAGTGTTTGGCTACCTGCCTTTTTTTTTTTTTCATTATTCCGGTTGTTCTTTTTTTTTTTCTGAAACCACGTCAATGAAAGATAAAATTTTATTTACCCCACGGACAGCCTTAAAATTAAGCTTCTCTCTTTGTCGATATCTGTGTATGGCCTTTGATCGTGTGCCATTTACGGAAACATGAACGCCTCTGGGCTGTTCTTTCCCACAAGCAAACTGACAAATTTGAAGCACGCCGCGTGATATGTTTACATAAACCCCTTAGCCATTTTTAAGAATGGTAAGGAATAAGTGAAGCAACCGGAAAGTGTATACAAAAAGTTTGTGTTGTGATTTGAAACAATGATTGGAAGTTGCAATTTCCGCCGCTCCATTAGGGATTTTCATTTTCAGCTTTACATGTCGGGGAAAATCCCAGGCGATCGGTGATTTCCTGTTTCCTGACCCTCGCAGATTTGATATATTCATTTGAGACACCATTTTATCAGTGACTCACTCTCTGACACTGGAAAAGGCGAAGAAAACGATCATATTAAAAGGAAAATTTTGAATCACAAAAAAATGTCTTTAAGACCCTCGCCACTTCCTTTTTAGGCCTCAGGTATGGAAATTTTAGGTGGCTGTAATTTGACCTTGTCCGGCTCCTATTTGACTAAATTTGGATGTTTGTTGATGAAAGTGAGTGCAAGCCCGTTTTTGAAGTTTTGGATACCCTGGCCAGTTATCGTTACGTCGGAAATTGTTTCTCCGTGATTTAGTTATAAGAGTCGGTAAGTGCCAACAAGTAAAATTGAACAAAGTCAACGTTTACAGATTGATTTTCTCCGAATTGTGTGTTCGCCATCTTACGCGGTTGGAGGCCTAAGGCTATTACACGAAATCGCACCATCGCGTAAGATGTTTTAAAAGTCTAGTTCATTATATCGTTTGGCAGAAAAACAAAAAGAAAAAAAAAAAAAAAAAAAAAAGGAAAAAGGATTTTTTTCGATACCGAGCCATAGAATCGGCAACCCTCACCTTCCGAACCAACTTTACAGTTTCCGGCACAGTACACTTTGAAGTATTGTTTCTTTCTTACCCACTTATACACCCGTTGGTATAGAGCTCTACTTGCTATGTTAGTGAAACTGTACTTCTCTAAGCCTACGGTTTTAAGACATATCAAAGCAACTTGGAAAAGCCCGTGATTTGAAAGTTTTTCCCTCCGTTGCTTAGAGAAAGGTTGTAGTCTTTGTGGTCCTTTAATCACTGTAGTAACTATTTGCAAATCTCCAATACTATGAGAGAAAACGAACCGAACAGAGGTCGATACATTTTGATCAGATCTATTATTTAATACGGTTCGGATATCGTTTGATCATGATCCAGGAGACTCAGAAGCAAATAATCAGGCGAAAGGAAAGAAATTGGCGGTTTCGGTTCGACGCGAAAGTTGACATGACCTGGACCACCAAGGATAGTTACCTTGAGGAATGCCTTGTCCGAAACACAGCACATTAAAACATCCAATGACGAGATGAATGCGAACCATTCTTGAACTGATCATTCTAGAGCGCTCTGAAACAACTATAAAACAAGTGATCAACAACGCGCAGCTTCCACTTTTCCCAACCCCTTTTTCCGGTGACAGTTTGATATCTTTCATTCCGCCTCTGGAATTTAATGCCACATACACGAACGCGGGAAATATGCAACTTCCACTTTGCCCAACCCCTCTTTCCGGTGACAGTTTGATATCTTTCATTCCGCCTCTAGAATTTAATGCCACATAAATTTAAAGTCAGTCAGATTCGCAGCGGTTCTAGAAAACTACGCTGTTACTTATAGCCGGCCACGATGTTTCTTGCTCTGTAACCTCACTTGGTTCAAGTTTTTCTATCTATCATCTTATCTAAAGCCACGAAGTTTATGGAATCGTGTCTCAACAACTGTGAACAGTGGTTCAAAGGGCAGCGGAGGGTGACACGTTGTGTAGAACATGTACTGGAATGTCTCTTTTGGTTTGAAGAGGGTTCTTTTATCGAGAACTGACTCCCCGTTGAATCTTTCACTCTTATAGGCAGTTGAGTCTAAGAAAGTGGCTCCTGAAACAGAATGATATTTAAGCTGTAAATTTGATTGTTGGGTGGTGTTTAATTGGTTAAGTTTGTTCAGTGAACTGGTTGACGACATCTCTGTAGGTGTGCAAGGGAGAGTCTAGCCACGTAGATGTTTGTAAAAGCTACAAACAAACCGAAGAACAACTTATATTTTTTAAGCCGACTAAATATGCCTCTAGCAAGTCTTTGCCTATCTCCATAATCATACAGGAGAGTACATTACCGATATTGTAAAGGCTTTAATTTGCTAATATTTCTAAATTTCGAGACCATTACGCGATGTCAATTTCACAATAAACCTTGCGCATAGAGAAAAGCTAATCGCTAGATTTTACTACATATTTCTTGGTTGTTGAAACAAAAACTTACGCTTCCCTTGTATCAACATCACCTAAATTCATTTCTGATAAATAGATAATAATACATGGGCGCGCGTAGATATCGAATTTCTCTTCGAGTGTTTAACTCGATAGCGCACGAGTGAAAGCAGCGAACGAGAGAGATGTCGAGTTGAACACGAGAAGAGAAATTCCATATCTACAAGCAACCATGTATTATTTTGTTTATCATATAAACATCATAGCCCTTAACTAAGAAGAAAAGCCGACTACATTAATGAATAAAAATAAACGAATTGACAATCCCCGAATAACAATCGAACAGAGCGTTAACTCTAACTCTTAAGATGGAAAAATGCGTTGAATCATGATTACAAAAACAACAATGATCGTAATTTTCAATTTACAAAATTCTCATTTATTGACTCTGTCCTTACCGACAGAAGAAGTCTTTCAGGTAAACGGCCAAAATCGGCCAGTGGCAAATCTTCCAGTTGTCGATTTTCATTCTCAGCCGCGAATGCCAACACCAAAGCCACTGAATACGTATCTTGCGGTTTTTCTTTTTGTATATTGGTTCTTTTTCCCCTTTTAGGAAAGTTTGAACCTCTCTATCTTTCATCGATACGGATTTTTTGAGTGTTTTAGCCGCCATATCCGAGAAAGTTCCGACAAACTACTTTGTGCTGAGAATCGTGAGGGCTTTGCCGTTTATTCATCAACCTCACTGAGTGGCGCCAAAGGCGAGTGACGTATCAGCAGCAGATTGACTATATCAACACACGTGAAAAGATACGATGTTTTTCACGTTTGTTGTTACGGCTTTTCTCAGGGCCGGAAATCTTTGTATATCACTTAACTTAGTTTATGTGAGAAAAAAAGAAATAATCACTCTCCAAAAACAAAAGCTTACACTTCCCTTGTATCAACATCACCCAAATCCATTTCTAATAAAAACAATAATCTGACTCCAAAATCGTGTTTTCGGACGTCGAAACAACCTTTCACATACATTGCGTTCCAGTGAGTTGCAATGTTTGCCCCATGGCGATCCCAGAAATCTTTGCGCAAACACAAGGATCCGATTACAAGCAACTCATCGATATGTCTATTCCGGGGATCTAGGGCAGGGAGTTTAGAATGAGAATAGGTGGTTGGGGTTGGAGGTGAAGAGCACATTTTGCGATCCACGTGAAGCAAACTCGTATTGCTCGATACAGTGAGAACTTCAACTTTTGAGGTAAAGTAATTAAGGTTTGCATTGCTTTTTTGTGTTGAGATGTGTCAAGATCTTTCAAAGCTAGAATTTGCTTGGAGCAGGTTCGCTACAGCCCCTACCAAACGATACAACATTGTCACATATGCGTAAAAGTGTAAGATCGAAACAAAAGAACTCATCTAACATAACTTAGACGCAAAACATTGTAACTTAGCGGATTAACAAGGGTTGTTAATTTCGAAACACCGAGGCTTCGGATGGTTTGTTAATGATACTAAGAGGTAAATGTCGCTATTGCCTTGGTACAATTACTAATGTCGCTATTTTCTTGACAAACTTTGTTCTCTTAAAGATATAAATTACAAAATTGTAACAAAACTGTAGACAAAATTCTGGATAAACCTCAAGAGTAATTAATTAATTTACCATACTGGTTTTTGAAAAACCGGACCCTAGGCTTCTTTACAGGAGGCGACATCGTAACTTTAGACAGCGAGCCAAAGTTTCAAAGTGTCCAGCATCGTGCCACCCTCACCCCCGGAATAGACATGCCGGTAACTCATTCATCATTTAGCCATGTGCTGTATGAAACGGGTAAACAAGAATTAAAAAATAGATGAATGCCCAGGGATGTTTCCTCGAGCTGGAAAAACAAACTGGGTATGGGCGCATGATCTTTAAATATTGCAAAAAAAAAAAAAAAAAAAAAAAAACAAAACAAACAAACAAACGCATAAAACGAACACAAAATGGAAGTGAATGTATTTCAAAGAGAGAATTTTGGCACTTTCTTGATTATAGGTTAGATTGAAGCTGTATTTTGCACATTTCACTTTTTTCAATTACAACAAAGATGTCTTCCCCTTCTCTTTCGTTAAACTTAAGAAAATTCAAAGTTAAAAGCAAAAATTATAAAAATTAACAGAAAAATCAAATAGTTTCAAAACGATTAAGAGCGTAACAAGCTTAACTATATGTTAAATCGTATATTGATTGCAAAATATTGAAATCTTTGGGCCCGTTATTTAAACAAAGTCCAGCCGTTGGTTGACAAAACCACAACCTAAACTACCTTGAATTTAGCTGATTCTTTTAAGTGAACATGTCTCTTCATAGGTAGTGTCAAGAGGGCCGAAAGCTAGCAGAAGAAATGCATTTATTTAATGAAAACAACCCTCTTGTAGAGAATATTGAAGGCCCACTGATTACGAAAAAAAACGTGACCGCACCTCGTGTCATTCAATAACCGGCTCTTAAAGTTTAAAGAATAGTCTAAAATGATAACTTCGCACGGATTAAGTCACATTATTTTTTTAGCAGTGGTTTCAGTTCTTTGACAAAAAGCATTTCAAAAATAAGACACTGAAGCTTGTTTTGGCAACGCGATGTCAGTTGTCCGGTTCCATGTCATGCTCGCTCCTTTATGAGATGGTCTCCGATCGCCGATTCCGTTTGTGATCTTCAATGCGTTGATTAAAGTGCTGTCATGTGTATCCGAAAATAAAGTGCATCAT